ATGAATTTACAATCCAAAATTATAAGCTGGAACATCCAATCAACAAATACAACTTTTGGCTCTAAGTTTGATGACCCTCAATTTTGTGCCGTCTTTGACAAGTTTCCTATTGTCTGCCTTCAAGAAATAAGACAACCTGTCAAACACTCGGGTTACAGGTCCTTCAATAAAACCCGCCGGGACAAAAAACATGGTGGCGTATGCATAATGGTCCAAAACGAAATATCCAAAGGCGTTAAACTTGAAAAATCCACAATTGAAGATGTTGTTGCCTGTAAACTTGACAAAAATTACTTTGGCGTAGATAATGATATATTCATTGTTAACTCATACATTAAGCCAGCTAACACTTCCTCTAAAAACTCAAATATTTCGGGCTTTGACACCATCCGTGAACTGGACCAATTTCTCAATGTTCTTTTAAGTAAAGGTGATGTCATTACTTGTGGTGACTTCAACTCGCGTATCGGCCATGACATTGACTTTATCAAAGAGGACAAATGTGGCTACGAGAGCTTCATTCCCCTGCCAGAAGACTACACCCCACAAGAACTTCCAACCAGGAACTCAAAGGACAAAAAGTCGAACAATTACAAAAGACCCTTTCTAGAAATGCTTGTCAATAATGAACTCCATATTCTCAATGGGAGAACTTTAGGAGACTCATATGGTGACTTCACTTGTATTCAGACCAGCGGTGCCAGCGTTGTTGACTACTTTATTATATCACCAAACTGCAGTAAGTATCTAAGTCATATGACAATCCAGCCGTTCACTTGCTTTTCTGATCATAAACCACTACTCCTGGCACTCAACTTCTCTCCTTCCAACACTCTTGTAAACACAAAGGCACTCCATGAAACTTACGCTCGAGCCCCACTTCGTTACAAAATAACTCCTGATAGCCTTTCAAGCTTACGGGATACAATGATGGACCCACTTGTGGAAGAATGTTCCAAAAGCCTCTTAGAAACAGATTATCCCGAAGATCTCCTAGGTACATACAAATTAAACGAAGATATCACAGTACACTTGAACAAAATAGCAGACAAATGTCTCCAAAAGACCAAACATCCCAAAATAACCAAAAAGGGATCAATAAATAAACAACCCTGGTTCACACAAGCCACCAGAGAAGCTAAAATATCTTGTACTCGTGCAGCTCAAATTGTTTCTGATTTCCCCAATAGCGATTATCTTCGAAAAAATTTTTACCAAGTAAAAAATACGTACAAAAGTTTAATTGACCGTACAAAAAACAAATATCTTGACAAACTGAATACAGATATTGAATCTGGTAAAATTCTTAACTGGAAACAATTCAAAAAACTGAAAAAATTTAAAGGAAGAGTTGACAAATTTGATTGCCATGACATGGACAACTTTCAAAAATTCTTTGGTAAACTTTATGCCAATGCACATAGCACCATAACTGTAGAGAATAAGGAAGAAATGCTTCAAAATGCAGAGGCTATTAACAATAATTTCCAACCATCCCCTGCACAATCAATACTCAATGGCCAGATCTCTGTGGACGAAATATCTACTGCGATCTCTTCACTCAAAAACGGCAAAAGTTCCTCGGAGGATATGATATGTAATGAAATACTGAAGACCTTGTCCACAACAAACACACAACTCCTTTGCAAAGTCTTTAACCGCTGTTTGGACACTGGAACTTACCCATGGAACAACAGCATTATTACACCCCTACACAAAAAAGGCGACAAAGATAATCCAGACAATTACAGAGCAGTTGCTGTGAGTAGTACAATCGGAAAACTATTTTCGACCATCATGTTAAACAGGATAATCAAGTTCAAAAATGAATACAACCCGGACCCCATAAATCAACTTGGCTTCGCTAAAGGAGCTCAAACATATGACCACATACTCACACTCAACACCATTACGTCTAAATACAAAAAGCTCAAGGTTCCTGTCTATGCTGTTTTTGTGGACTTCCGGAAGGCCTTCGACTCTGTTTGCCGTGAAGCTCTTTTCTTAAAATTAGCTAAACTAGGTATCACTGGCAAAACATTTAATGTTCTTAAACATATGTATAAAAATTCCACTGGCCAGATAAAACTATCTGGATTTGTCAGCGAAAAATTTGATATCAATAAAGGAACTGAACAGGGTCATCCACTTTCCCCTGATCTATTTAAGATATACATCAGAGATCTTTCCCCTCGACTAGAATATGATAACTGTCCGAAACTAATGAACCAACTTATCAGTCACTTACTATGGGCAGATGATCTGATACTCTTGGCACTGGACCTCAAAACCCTCCAAAAGCAACTCGATGCTTTGAACAATTTCTGCTTGGAATGGGGCGTCGAAATTAATGCAGATAAAACTAAACTCATGAAATTTAATGCCCGTTTTGATACTTATCAGCCGGTTCCCCTCAAAATTGGTGATCACTTGTTAGAAGAAGTCGAGTCATACTGCTATCTAGGAATCGAAATACGGCACATTCACAAATGCCCGAACTGAGCTCAAAAAGAAAGCCATGCGTGCACTTTATGCCATGAAAAGCTCAGTAAACAAATCCAAATTATCATTCCGCTCTCTAACAACACTCTTTGATGGTCTTATTAAACCTATCGTTCTTTACGGAGCGCCTATTTACACACCTAACATGGCTATCATAAAACACATAACAAAACAAGTCGATCTCAATATGGATGCCGACACAAAAACAAAATTTCAAACTAGTATCCTCAAGAAAATTAGCCTTCTGAACAGCGAAAAAGTTCACCTTCACTTTCTTAAATGGTCACTGGGGGTAAATCGTAAAGCCAGCAACGCAGGCGTCTGGGGTGAGTCAGGCCGCTACCCATTAATCTATGAATGTATTAACCTCACTCTCAAATATAGCCAACGTTTGAAAAATCTCAAAGATAACTCCCTTGTCTCCTTAGCTTTCAAAGAACAGATGAACATGAAATTGGACTGGTACAGGGGTTTGGAGCCTGTCCTCGCGCTAGACCCATGTTTCTCTACCGATCATGTCACAGCCTACCGCACACTCAAAAACAATCACTCCAAGTTACTTTTCGAAAGAAACCCGAGTATCGCAAAACCACCAAAAGAGGACTTTCTTATTCACAACGGTTTCAAGAAACGAATTCCTCCTCAATCAACACAACCCATCGGGAGTAAAATATTCACACCACACGTCATTACTAAAACTTTGAAATGTAACTTTAGAGAATATTGGGGGTCCTGTATCAACACTTCTCGGAAATTAGAATTCTATCGTGACCTAAAATCCAAATTTAACAAAGAGTATTACCTAGATAGTGTCATTAAATATGCAGACCGTGCTAATATCACAAGACTGCGGATCAGTGCACATCGACTCGAAATTGAACTTGGCCGATATAATCAAACTCCTCGTGACGAGCGAATATGCTCCTGGTGCAATATAGTCTTAGGTTCTGGTATTATTGAGAATGAAGATCACTTCCTTAACCATTGTGATCTTAACGCTGCATCGAGGCGAAAAGTCCTAGACAAGATCCAGTCACTCATATCAAATCCAATCAAATTCAAACCGTCTGCGACATCTTATTCTGTTCACAATGTCATCCCTGGAGCAAACGTCCTCAAATTCATCAGCAACAACAGTGAAATCATTGAACTTATCACGAACGAAAGTCAAGTCCACCTCACGAGAGTCGTTGCTAGGTTTGCCACTACGTGTTTTAACAACCGCAAGAAATTTGTTGACTCTCTGGCCAGTACATGAACAGTGAACACTGAAAATCACTGTACCCGCTTTTGTTTCTTTTCGCGCAACGACGAGTGCAAACTGCAAAGTGACCTGGCTCAAGCATTACAGCATTACCAAGGCGACTGAAAACAAAATATTTTATGTCAAATCTTTATTTTTCACTTTAGTTAAGTTATATTGATATAATAAATTCAAATCTTATGATATTGTTATTATCTTAACAGTTACTATTGTAGCTCAAGATTTTAAATTTGTATTCCTTGTATTCCTTGTATTCCTTGTATTCCTTGAGTGGTCTATGCAGCCCCCCGGTCTACTCAGCCGAATACTCGAGAAATCGGGTGTGAGGGTTAAATGAGGAGCTGCACATTGCAGCAAAGTCTCGGACGAAGAAAGTATGGTACACACTACCTTAACCGTCACTGGCCAACAAAATCCTTCGGCTTCCTGTAATTGGCTGGTTGCACTTGTGTAACATTGTGGCTGTTGGAATACACCGAAGTAAAATAAGTGTCTAGATTTAAAAAAAAAAATAACGATACATAATAAATGTAATAGATGTGTAGCGTTAATTAGTGACGAGTGCACAGTAACGAGTGGGGTAACGAGGTAAGATGAGCCAGATTACTGAGAAGACAAAAATCCAACGTTGTTAAGAGGAAGCACCTCAAGTGCATCCTGAAGATGTACTGGCCTAGTTCTAGATATCCAACAAGTGCATCCTGAAGATGTACTGGCTTAGTTCTAGATATCCAACAAGTGCATCCTGAATATCTACTGGCCTAGTTCTATATCCAACAAGCACATCCTGAAGACCTACTGGCCTAGCTCCAACGAGGCGTACCCAGACCAGGCCCATTTCCGAGAGAGTGGAGAAGACACGGTGGACGATGCTAAGGAAGGACATGTGCTCCGCAGCGATAACAACACACCGGCCTATCAAGCTCTACTATTTTCCACATTATGATGCTAAACGCTAAAGGGACGTATAGGCAGAGACAGAACTCGTGAAAAAGGATCTATTTAATAGAAAAATGTATTTGAAGGAACGAGGACGATTTTACCAACTTAGTGAACTTAGCAAGGGATATATTAGGATGGAGGAGTTTACTTACTATGAGACAAATTGAACGGAGAAGAAGGTGTTAATAGGCCAGCACTTTGCTGAGCCTCTTCAGTCTTTTTCGTTTATACTTTCATAGATGTTATTATATATATTATATATGTAATGAGTTTAAAACTACTTTTCTTTCAGTTAGACAAAACGCTACAGAAGGACGAGCTGTCAGATTCTTTTGAAGCCTACACTAAAGACACTGACAACCAGAGGGTAACTCTTACTACTACTACTACTATTACTACTACACTTTGTATTTTCACGCGTCTTGTAAAATATATATATTGCTGAATCTTTTGCAGTGTGTGTGCACTTACATTAATTGTTAACATAATAATGTATTCCTGTTTTCATGATAACCGCCTCGTCACAGGTCGCTAATAAGAATGCCAGTGTAGCGGAAGAATTCTGCTCGCGTCTAGGAAAGTACAGGATGCCGTATCTTTGGGTAGGTTTCAACTTAGAACGGGCACTACAAGGAAGTGACGGAATGTTTCTAAACCCAGATGCACGTAATGGTGAAAACTCTTTGAAGGAAAAGGACCTGAACAACAGTGGCGGATCGTGGAAGAGTGAGTCTGATAATTACGACAGCGCGTCCCTCAACTCCCTGCCCTTCAGTGCACGGTTTCCAAGCATGGAGAAAAAATACGGGAGAATGGGCTCAGTGTCCGCTCACTCTTCAGCTGAGAGGATAGACTCCAGTGAGATAAAAACTAACCTGGCCAACTTCCCGCTAAAGAAGGGGCTGATACCCAGAATGTTCAAACAGGAGGTAGAGCATCTCAATGACGAGGATATCTGCAAATATTTGTTCGAGATCAACAATAAGAAAAACTCTACGCTCAAGAGACTGAAGATCGTTCCCGGTAAGTTCACCAATCCACCACTCAATGTTTGCTCCAAAATGTCACCATTCATGATAATCTAAAAGGAAATGTATCATACTTCAGTGGTGAAATTGAAAATTGGCTCCATATCTAAGTCTAAATAACTATTGAGCGAAGTTAATGGATGAATTGTATTCCAGTACACATGGAACTAGAGATAGAACCGGCCCCAGTTGGCAACCAGGCAGTGCTAACCCCTGCTCTACGCAAACTCCTTCCCTACTCTGAGAATAAGCAAGCCGGGGAAACTGAGCGCTGGACATTCCCAGTAAGGGAGGTAGAGGAGTTCCCAGGGCGCGATGTGTACATTCCATACCACGATTACAAGTTAGTTACCATAACAACACATTCCATACCGCGATTACAAGTTAGTTACCATAACAACACATTCCATACCGCGATTACAAGTTAGTTACCATAACAACACATTCCATACCACGATTACAAGTTAGTTACTATAACAACACATTCCATACCACGATTACAAGTTAGTTACCATAACAACACATTCCATACCACGATTACAAGTTAGTTACCATAACAACACATTCCATACCACGATTATAAGTTAGTTACTTTAACAACACATTCCATACCACGATTACAAGTTAGTTACCATAACAACACATTCCATACCGCGATTACAAGTTAGTTACCATAACAACACATTCCATACCACGATTACAAGTTAGTTACCATAACAACACATTCCATACCACGATTACAAGTTAGTTACCATAACAACACATTCCATACCGCGATTACAAGTTAGTTACTTTAACAACACATTCCATACCACGATTACAAGTTAGTTACCATAACAACACATTCAATACCACGATTACAAGTTAGTTACTTTAACAACAGATTCCATACAAACGATTACAAGTTAGTTACCATAACAACACATTCCATACCACGATTATAAGTTAGTTACCATAACAACACATTCCATACCACGATTACAAGTTAGTTACTATAACAACACATTCCATACCACTATTACAAGTTAGTTACCATAACAACACATTCCATACCACGATTACAAGTTAGTTACCATAACAACACATTCCATACCACGATTACAAGTTAGTTACCATAACAACACATTCCATACCACGATTACAAGTTAGTTACTTTAACAACACATTCCATACCACGATTACAAGTTAGTTACTATAACAACACATTCCATACCACTATTACAAGTTAGTTACTATAACAACACATTCCATACCACGATTACAAGTTAGTTACCATAACAACACATTCCATACCACGATTACAAGTTAGTTACCATAACAACACATTCCATACCACGATTACAAGTTAGTTACTATAACAACACATTCCATACCACGATTACAAGTTAGTTACCATAACAACACATTCCATACCACGATTACAAGTTAGTTACTATAACAACACATTCCATACCACGATGACAAGTTAGTTACCATAACAACACATTCCATACCACGATTACAAGTTAGTTACCATAACAACACATTCCATACCACGATTACAAGTTAGTTACTACAACAACACATTCCATACCACGATTACAAGTTAGTTACCATAACAACACATTCCATACCACGATTACAAGTTAGTTACCATAACAACACATTCCATACCACGATTACAAGTTAGTTACCATAACAACACATTCCATACCACGATTACAAGTTAGTTACTATAACAACACATTCCATACCACGATTACAAGTTAGTTACCATAACAACACATTCAATACCACGATTACAAGTTAGTTACTTTAACAACAGATTCCATACCACGATTACAAGTTAGTTACCATAACAACACATTCCATACCACGATTACAAGTTAGTTACCATAACAACACATTCCATACCACGATTGCAAGTTAGTTACTTTAACAACACATTCCATACCACGATTACAAGTTAGTTACTATAATAACACATTCCATACCACGCGAATGATTACAAGTTAGTTACCATAACAACACATTCCATACCACGATTACAAGTTAGTTACTTTAACAACACATTCCGTACCACGATTACAAGTTAGTTACCATAACAACACATTCCATACCACGATTACAAGTTAGTTACCATAACAACACATTCCATACAAACGATTACAAGTTAGTTACCATAACAACACAATCCATACCACGATTACAAGTTAGTTACTATAACAACACAATCCATACCACGATTACAAGTTAGTTACTATAACAACACATTCCATACCACGATTACAAGTTAGTTACTTTAACAACACATTCCATACCACGATTACAAGTTAGTTACCATAACAACACATTCCATACCACGATTACAAGTTAGTTACTTTAACAACACATTCCATACCACGATTACAAGTTAGTTACCATAACAACACATTCCATACCACGATTACAAGTTAGATACTATAACAACACATTCCATACAAACGATTACAAGTTAGTTACCATAACAACACATTCCATACAGGGACAAAAGGATTTCGCGATTATTTTGGCCAAAAATCGCGGTACCGCGAAATTTAACAGGCTATACATTAAACTATACATAAAATTTGTCGCGGAGAATGGGAAATTTCGCGATTTCGTACATGCCGCGAAATCCTTTTGTCCCTGATTCCATACCACGATTACAAGTTAGTTACCATAACAACACATTCCATACCACGATTACAAGTTAGTTACCATAACAACACATTCCATACCACGATTACAAGTTAGTTACCATAACAACACATTCCATACCACGATTACAAGTTAGTTACTTTAACAACACATTCCATACCACGATTACAAGTTAGTTACTATAACAACACATTCCATACCACGATTACAAGTTAGTTACTATAACAACACATTCCATACCGCGATTACAAGAGCAGTTAGTTCCATGCTCATTGCCCATATTACGAGTCAGTATTACGAGTCAGTATTACGAGTCAGTAATCATGGCAACAGTAATCATGGCAACAATAACTTTTGCAACTTTTCAGAAACTTTCTCTACATTTATCCGCTGAGTCTGAACTTCAATAACCGTACTGGAAGCTGCCGCAATATAAAGCTAACGATACAAGTGCTGGAGACGGAGGCAAAGTCAGGTGTCTTGGAGGTAAATTCAGGTGTTTTCGAGGCAAAGTCAGGTGTCTTGGAGGTAAATTCAGGTGTCTTGGAGGCAAAGTCAGGTGTTTCGGAGGTAAATTCAGGAGTCTTGGAGGTCAAATCAGGTGTTTTGGAGGTCAAGTCGGGTGTCTAGAAGGTCAAGTCATGTGTCTAGAAGGTATGAGTGTGAGGTTCAGAAATGTGTCTCAATTTGAACTCTAATTTTTTTCATCTTTCCAATCTTTACTTTCAGTGCATTTATGGAAGGTCTTCTGGAAGAAAAATGATAAATGAGGCATCAACCGTAGTGCAGTACCATAACAAGTAAGAACTATTGTCTATAATAAAGTAACAAGTAATTGTGTGCTTGTTAGACAAAGCCTGTAAAACTATATAAACGCACTACTACTCTGAGTAAGACTGATTACCAGCATCAGAGAATATTATTAGCTGTAACAACAATTTAGTCTCTACTAGCAGGAACCCGTCTACCCTAAAGTGGTGTCAAGACTCAAGAGACTAAAATAATTAGTATCTATTTAATTCGCGTTTTTGACACCACTTGGGGGTCCACATTTTGGGTACTAAAATTCTTATTCCTTGGCTAATATTTTACTTTTTCATGCTGATTTGAAGGTCATAAAGGCATTTGACCGAGTCAAAAAAGTTTCAGTTGTATATCTTTTACGGTTTTTGCGGAAAGTCGCGTTAAAGTTGATGCGAGACGATATATATGGATGGATCCGTGCCATTTTACTGACACCATGGCATCAACTTTAACGCGACTTTCCGCAAAAACCGTGAAAGATATACAACTGAAACGTTTTTGGCTTGGTCAAATGCTTTAATGGCTTCCAAACCAGCATGAAAAAATAAAAAATTGGCCAAGTAATAATGATTTTAGAACCGAAAATTTGGACCCCCAAGTGGTGTCAAAAACGCCAATTAAATAGGTAAAAATTATTTTAGTATCTTGAGTCTTGAGTCTTGACACCGTTTAGGGTTATATTATACGGGTTCCTGCTAGTTAATATAATTTACAAAAAAATAGATTTTGAAAGTAGTCCACTTGTTGGTGCTTGAGCCAGGCTACTTTGCGTGAGAAGACGCGAAGAAATTTATGTGTTACTGTTAGTGAAAGCAAATACAAACTGAGTTGGTACGAGATACCAATCCAAAATCTAAGACTCAATGACACTCCTTCCTTTGGTGTTTTAGTTTTAGTAGGAATAGCTACCTACGCTTTATATATAGTAAGATAGCTACCACATAATTTGACCAACCATCGGTTATAGTCAAAATATACTTGTATCCTCTCGGTGTTGCAACAACCTTCTTAAGAACTATATGATCGAAACAAATTGCTGAGTTAAACGAGTGGAACAATATGTGCTTGAGGGGTGCCTTATTGTATGCCTGAGGTGGCTTATTGTACGCCTGAACACTCGCAACACGCTGCGACCCATAATTTGAAACATTCACTCATTTTTGGTCAGTAGAAATTTCGTTTACAGACCTCAAGACAATTTTCTACTCGAGCATGTGCAGTCTCCTGGTTATGCACCATGTCCAGGACAGATTCATGCAAGGATTCGGGGACTATGATCAAATCTCTACTTCCCTCCGGATCCCTAACTCCAGTCCAACGTCTCCTAAGTATTCCCTCCTTGATACTTAAAAGATCAAACTTTTTCCAATAACTTAACAGTTCCTGTGGCAGTCTGCTCCTCCTCCTCCTCCTCCTCCTCCTCCTCCTGCTCGCCTGAATTAACACAGGTTCCTCCCCCTTGATCGCCCATCTCTGTTTGTTAGGTGTATATTGTATATTCGAACATTATTCCGTCATATTATGATAATTCATTTCCAGTCATAGGCCAAAAATTTTGAAATGCAATGCCTTATTCTGAAAAAAACAGAATAAGGTTTTTTTTTGTAAATCGGACGTATCTCCGGTTGTGATGTACCTTCATCTGTGAAAACTGAAGATCAAAGAATATAATTAGTGCCTTTCCTGTGACAACAGACTTTCTAGTGTGTTTATAAAATTAATCAATGATTGCAGTGCTAGGTTGCGAATACGACTACGTAGAATGCAATATATTTTATCAGATGACTAATACAAATTGAAACATAATTCGGGGCAGCATGAGGCTCTGAAATATCATCCACTATATCAGTATCAAACACGACACAGCTAGAATACTGTCCAAAAAGCTTCAAATAGTAGTCAGTGACATGATGATATGTATTGTATTAGGTATAGCTGAGTGTGTAACTACACGCTGCCCCGTATACCGCACGGAGTGATGTCCGGTTGGTGCACTGACTTTTATAAGCGCTCTCGTGTATCAGAGGTGTGTGTTTAGTTTAATCAGTAATGCGTGTGTTAAAGAGCTTAGCCTTACGTTTCCTCCTCGTGTTTTTGGGATGTTTCCTCCTGTCGTTAGTTTCAGAACACTTCTACAGCTCCTCCCCCGTTACTATGGCAATTCTAGATAGACGATATCAGTTAACATTGGAGAGGTTGAAGGGAGGAAGGAAAAGAGTTGAGGAGTACGGGGACTACAAGATAAAGAGAGGGAGTTGGGCTGCCCTTACTAACCAGACTCTGTGTCTGGCAGCTGCAGATAACAAGGTGGTACTGGCGCCCTGCCAGCTGCAGTCCCCGCTCCAGAACTGGACTATACACTACTCACGGCACCCTGACAGGCGGGACCACGTGTCCCTCCCCGCGCTCTCTAAGTGTGTGGATGTGGGGGCGGTGACACAGCCTCGCGGCACGCCCCTCATTCTGTATGGGTGCCACGGTGGAGGGAGTCAGGAGCTCTCCTTCGACTTCACCTCTCAGATGATCTATCATGGGGAGAGTAATAACTGTTTGGAACTTGCTGAAGGGGGTGAAGTGAAGATACAGGCGTGCAACCTCAAGAAACGTGACCAGAAGTGGATCATATTTCAGTCGGACTAGTGAGTTTATATTTTCCGGCCTAGTGAACTCAAGTACGGACTTATACCCACTTTTAATGCCTGACTATAATTTAAGATGAAGTGCCAGTCTGGATAAAATGAAATATTTTGTAGTATCGTTTTCTTGGAATTATCATATTATAGCATTTGAAATTTCTTTTGATAAAGCAATAATCGCCTTGTAAAATCACATAGGAGGACTAAATAGCATATTTTGAGGGGTTTTTCTTCTAAAAGCTGCATGAATCATATCATCAAAAATAGTAACGATAACATATTATAGTAATACAGATTACAGAGGGGGCCAAAAGTCAGTGTGCAAACGTTGGCCTTAGTATCTCAGTCACTGAGTGCCCAATTGAAATAATTCTTTCTGGTATGACTTACTACTACCACTGGTTCGAGGAATTTGTCAAATCGAAAAATATTCATGTTCATTTTTTTCAAATGAAGGTTCATTTTCGCATTTATTTGATAGTTTGGATAGTCGGATCGAGTTAAATTTTATTGAATTGTGTTTGGCCATTCGAATTACGTTTGTCTTGAAAAAATTAGAGTTGTAGCTTCTCAGATGACCGAGATTCGAAGCATAACGAGTTTATTCATTACGTCTTTACGTGTGATCAGGTGATTGGTTTACCTAATCACGTGATTAGGTGACCCCGTTAACCACCCCGTTAAACATTGCTAAGGGTGCCGAATTAAGGTGTCGTGTCACGGTGTCACACAATCACCCAGTCAGTTTTGTTAACGAGATACACATAATGCTTGATAACTTCGTCATTTCTAATCCGTTTTGCCTCATTGTTTCAGATCAGATGTTCAACATTTAAAAATCTACCGTTTCTGAACAAATTTGGTGTCCAGCATGTTCAGGGAGAACAGTACAGGTGTTTTAATATTGAATGGGCGTGGTATAAAATTTGGCGACGGAATCCTCGAACAAGTAGGTACAGTAGGCCATCTGCAAAGCAACAACTCTCAAATATAAAACACGGCGGAGATATAAGACCCAACGTTTGCACACTGACTTTTGCCCCCCCCCCCCCCCCTGTAGTAATACTAAAGATTACCTTAGTTCGTTTAATTATGGTGGGTTAAATTTGGCGGTTTTTCGGAAATTCCGTCATTATTATTTTACCCGCCATGATATTACCCGCCATAAATATACGAACTAAGAGTAAGAAAACACTCTGTACAGTGTACACATAACCACTGAAAAAAGGGCGTACAATTAGCTATTATAGAGCTATTAAGAGGAGCATTGCAATGGTCCGAGCTATTGTAAAAGTAAATGAGATGCTGACTTATATTATTGTTTTATTGAATTTAACTGTTTCATATTTATGGTTTTAGTTCTCAATAAATTCTCTGGAAATCGTTGTTTACAGTTTACCACAGGGAAATAGAAGCAAGGATATAAATATATTAGCTAATAATACGGAGAACCGCCCTTTTCAACTAGTTTTGTCTTCTGCAGTAGAATGATCATTTTGTTGGGAGACTAAGGAAGGCCTAGAATGAACTTCCTTTCAGTTTTTTTAATAACATGAAAAGTTGATGTCTGAACTTGAAACAAGCAAACTGCTGTGAAACTGCCACAAAGTGGTTTACCTCTATGTTTGGTCCTCCTCGAATGGCCACACCACGACTAAGGAGCCGATCGATATTTTAAATTATCCTGGAATATCAGAGCTTATGCGTGATATCAACTCCAAGTTTGGCTGCAAGCTAAACTCATGCCTAGCAAGCATGTACAAGTCTGGTTCATGTGCAACTAGGTACCACAACGACGACGAGGAGTCTCTTGATCAGTCACAAGGTATTTATATGGTTTCATTTGGAGCAGAGAGGACTCTCGACACAATTCAAGAAAATGGGGATAAGGAATATAACAGTAAATGCCATATCACCCCAAAGGATTTCAGTTTGTATATTATGAAATAGGAGTATTGCCCGAGGTGTCGGGAGTATTGTCTTCACAAGGTTCGCGCGGAGAGTTAGAGACTCTGTATCTTTTCGCTGCCAGATACCGAAGAGAGATGCGAATATTGTAGTCAAGAAGCAAATTGTCCGCACTACGCTGCCTATGCCGCCCACCACCACAACCCTTTACTACCGAACTGTTCCAAGAAAACTGAAGAGCAGGAAACCCACAGTTCTGTTTGGTACATCCATGACGAAATAAGTTGGGATTCCGGGGAAGGGAGTTAATCCATTTGTCTCAAAGTGGTGCAAAAATTAGAGACATCACTGAAAACATTAACCATTTTCATAAAACTCATGCAGCTGCAGAAGCTGACGATATTTTAAAAATAATATTGGGTGTTGGTACAAATGACATAAAACATTCTAAATAGGGGGTTCATTTCCTTAGGAAGTATCTTACTGACTTAATTGACACCACTAAGCAGTTATTCTCCGCTGCAGACTTTCTAACTCGAGACTTTAGATCTTGTAATGCAGAACTATACGATGATGATTGGCTTCATCTCAATATGAGAGGAGTAGGTTTACTGTCCACTTGGCTTGAGTTTGTTGTAAACGAACGCAGTTTTGACAGGGTTGTAAATAATCTCCTAGGAATTTAAATCTTTGATCTTTTCTTTCTTTTAATATTTTGATTAAGACGTTGCGCCACTACGACCCGAATACCAGTTAGCCTAGGTACCGAAATGCTTGCAGTTAAAATTACTTTCCCTAACAACGACTTTTTATAGAGTAGGAACTCTTGGGTTACCTAATCATGATGTCCTAGTTGTATTCACAAGCTGGTTTCCAAAAAGAATCCCCCTAAAATCTATGTTATTGGTGATTTTAATCTTCCCCACACAGACTGGCTATCTTCATCCAGTACCGTACCTATCGAACAATCCTTCATAGATTCTTTCAGCGATCTATCTCTCTCCCAGCTGATCACGTCGCCCACCCATGAAAGTAGTAATACATTAGACATTCTTCTCAGTAATGATGATAACACAATCGATAATTTAGATGTCTGTGATCCTCAATCAGTGTGCAAATCTGATAATCTTCCGGTCACTTTTTCAATTTAAAGCTCCTTTTCCTATAAGAAAACTCCTAAACGTAAGATTTATAATTTAAAGAAAGCAAACTTGGACATGATTAATCGTGAATTATGCTCCATTATGCTAGTCCTAGAATTCTATTAAGTTAGTTAAACACTGTATTATGACTATGGATTTCTGACTATCTTTCTGATTGGGCACTAAGAAATAAGATGCGATTCCGTCCAGCAAAATGTAAAGTACTCGTTCTTTCAGGGAACCATCCTTATCTCCTCCATTTGCATATATCATCTTGATGGCTCTCCTCTTGTGTATGTAGAGTTAGAAAAAGATCTTGGAGTCGATATTACTCCTAAGCTAAGTTGGAATAGTCAATGCGACAGAATTTATACTAAGGCCTGCCAAAAGCTTGGTATGGTCAGAAGAAATGGCCATATTGTCATTGATCAGAAACCCTAACCCTAACCCTTTACGTTTCCCTTGTTCGTAGCCAATTCGAAAATTGTTCCATAATCTGGCACCATCTTACTATATATAAAGCGAGATGATATATAGATATATATACAACGGTGTTTTTTCTCTTTTAGCAAAGGGCTCTACTAGTTGCTAGGAGCATTCTATATACTAGCAGGAACCTGTATAACCCTAAAATGGTGTCAAGACTCAATAGACTAAAATAATTATTACCTATTTAATTCGCGTTTTTGACACCACTTGCACTTGGGGGTCCAAATTTCGGGCTCTAAAATTCATATTATATATAATATTCCTTGGCCAATTTTTTATTTTTTCATGCTGATTTGGAGGTCATTAAAGCATTTGACCCAGTCAAAAAAGTTTCAGTTGTACATCTTTTACGGTTTTTGCGGAAAGTCGCGTTAAAGTTGATGCCGTGGTGTCAGTAAAATGGTATGGATAAACACATCTATCTTACTATATATAAAGCGAGACGATATATATGGATGGATCCGTACCATTTTACTGACATATGTAATAAATCACTTAGTGATAAATTAGAAAGTCTCCAAAAGAGAGCTATAAAATGAATTCTATCTGAAGAGGACCGCAGTTATCCACCTGAGCAATATGTCAAAAAGTGCAAGCTTGTCGACATTCTCCCTTTGTCTCAAAAGTTTGACTTAAATGATCTTATTTTTTTCCACAAAGTTTTTAAACAATTTAAATGCATTGTCATTGCCTCATTATCTCTCTTTATATCAGGGCACTTCTCGACTAAGACGTTGCCACCTCGACAGTCTGTCTATTGTGTCATCAATTTTACCTAAGTTAAGTCAGAATTCACACACCATCCACCTGTACCTCAAATAGTCCACTGGCAAAATCATTTTTCTACAGAACCCATATATACTGTGAAATGGACTCCCTTTACAGGTAAGACAGATTGTGTCTACTAGTCTTTTTAAATTTGAGGTCACTAAGCATCTATGGAAATGTTTATTGGATAGTGAATAGAACAGCCTAGCCTTATCTCCTTGATCCCCATATTTTTTTTCTATCTACCTTTGTATACTTCCAACATCACGCTTCCGGGCCCACATACCTTCTCCCTGCATTCACATTAATGACCATATCAGACTTGTATCTAATACATATAATATGAAAATTGATGTATTGGGTCCAAGTAATTGCGGACATAGTTCACTATGTGTTTACCGTGTTTGGGTGCCCATCTTATTTTACAGATGGTGGCAATATTTTGAACGATTCTATTTTATATTCATTTATTGCTGTACTCTGTAAAATTTGAAAATTATTTAATTTTTTAAATTTAAATTTTAAAAACCCCTAGTGATATTAGGAATTTAGAAACAAGTACAAATAATTTTTGTGAATGTAATTAAAAATATAGCTTATTACAATAACAGGTTTTAGATTTATATGGGATGCATCATCACAAAATAAAAATCGCATAAAAATGTGAAACAATTTTATGCGGTTTAAACGTCAGCTAATGTGATGCCCATTTGTAAATGTAAATGCTGTAGGATAAACTAATAAAGTCCAGCCTCATTAGGCCGGGGTACATTGTTGCAGTTTAAGAGGTTGCAATACTACGAACCCGCTCCACTATGTATTATAGGGCCTCATATCATGGGCCTCAGCTTATATTAAGTTTTACCCTGTTAACTGATGTAATCAACTCAGGAGCCCATATTTCTATGAGGAAGTGAAGATAGAATTACCTCCATACCTGACAAAGAACCATCATCTCCTCTTTAAATTCTACCACATCGTGTGTCAGAACCCTAAACAAACGGACAAACAGAAAACTGACAAAGAGCAGCTGATAGGCGTCACGTGGCTACCATTACGTATGAGAGGAGAGGTGAGTAAAAGTAATACCATTACACACTACATAGTAACCGTTACCATAGCGACCATATCTTAGAGAGGTGAGTAAAAGTAATACCATTACACACTACATAGTAACCATTACCATAGCAACCATATCTTAGAGAGGTGAGTAAAAGTATACACACTACATAGTACCATTACCATAGCAACCATATCTTAGAGAGGTGAGTAAAAGTAATACCATTACACACTACATAGTAACCATTACCATAGCGACCATATCTTAGAGAGGTGAGTAAAAGTAATACCATTACACACTACATAGTAACCATTACCATAGCGACCATATCTTAGAGAGGTGAGTAAAAGTAATACCATTACACACTACATAGTAACCATTACCATAGCAACCATATCTTAGAGAGGTGAGTAAAAGTAATACCATTACACACTACATAGTAACCATTACCATAGCGACCATATCTTAGAGAGGTGAGTAAAAGTAATACCATTACACACTACATAGTAACCATTACCATAGCGACCATATCTTAGAGGGATTGATTTCCCATTACCTGTTATAGGCAGTACTATGCACTACATTACCTGTCGGCAGTACTATGCACTCAATGGAGTAAGTAAGTAGATTTTTATATTGCCGAATATTCACAGGATAGTCGAAGTATTAACGATGATGTTCTGGCACTCGCTCTTGGGGAACATCGACTACCTGTGTGTACTGATCTTCCCAAAAAGGAGGCTTATTCTTGCATCTCCCCAAAGGTTTGTGTTTGTATTTCTCTCAAACGTTTGTATCCTTGCATCTACCCTTACTATTGTATCCCTGCATCTTCCCTTAGTCTTGTATTCCTACAACCGCCCTTGATAATATTACCGACTAAGGTAGTTACTGTAGTTACTGTAGCAAACATGCAATTTTCTGTGTACTTTTAATCTTACCGTCCTGCACTTTGCGCCGTTATATGCTTCGTGGTTTTTAATATAACTCATTAATTCACATCAATATTGTGAATCCTTGCATGTCCTGATTTGGCACCGATTGTCACTAAAATGTATTGTAAGGTTGTATTTCCTAGGGTCATTAACTCGTTTTATTTGCAGTTCTATCAGCCCAGTGAGGTATGAACTCTGAACGCTTTGATTAAAATTTGACAAAATGTTGTCCTGTGTTTAGATTATTGTGATGTTGTTGTGTTGATATGGTAGCTGACCTATTATATTTAGTTATGTTCTCAGTGCTCTTGTTTTGAGGATTCTATGAGACCCTGTCAAGTGGACGCTCATCGTATACATTTCTCCAACATTGTATTGATACCAATAATAAGATCGCATGATTAATTTTTTAATCGACTAAGGTTACTAGTAACCATAAAAATTCGACATAACAATCTAACATATAAAATAAATGTTTCTTTCTGTACGTAACGTACGTACGTACGTACGTAACGTACGGCCGCTCACGTGCAAATTAGGTAAAAAGCAAAAGGTTGCATAGTAACGTTGTTGAAATGCGCAGGTGCAATAATTGTCGGATGTCATTATGGTCGACTTCATTATCAAATTACGTTGTGTTTAGAGTGTTTTACCTCAAATCGACTGTATCTTTGGTTAGGATTGAGATGCAACTACCCAAGAATACTACAAAACAGTTTACTCCCTGTGACCAAGGGCTTTCTAGTCTAACTTACAAAGTTTCTCTTTCTACAAGAATTTTCCCACGTGCAAATTCGACTAGAAATAGGAAGTTTTTTATCGTTTTTTTGTTCAGTGCGAACTTACATTTTAATTGGCTGTATCTTCGGTTGTGTTGGACATTTTTTGATGCGATAAAAACTGACTATCAGAGAATACTATTAGCTTCCTCCATGCGACCACGAGCTTTCTAGTCCTACAAACTATATATGACCGCCCACGTGCAAACAGCAAATTGGATGAGAAATGGGAAGTTGCATAGTAACGAGGATGGAAACGCGCACTTGCACGTGCAATGATTGTTGGAACGACATTATGATCGGTTTTATTGTCTTATTACGTTTTGTGGACTGTTTCACATAGGTTTAATCGGATGTATCTTCATTCTTCAGTTGGGTGATAAAACACACACGCACGCACGCACGCACGCACACACACACACACACACACACACACACACACACACACACATCCACTCTGTATCCTAGTAACATGACCTTTAAATAACAAAAACCTTTAAATAACCATAAATATACATTATACATAATATTATATACCTATTTTGAAATCGGGGGTAATAATATGTATTTATCAGTTAAACAAAAATTTAAACAAAATTTAAACAATTCCATATTATCATAACAATTGAATGTTATCAGCTTGTAGGTTTGCTTCGTAAAGAGGTTAGTCTATATTATGACAAATCAAATTGTGACAACCTTTTCTTTACCTATATTACTGTGATACCACTTATATTACTGTGATATGTGACAATTAATTACTTCTCACCTTTGATTCGAAGATTGTTTCATGTTGTTGACAGCGATAATACCACACTACATAGTAACCATTATACACTACATACCACATTCTGATTGCCTGAACTCCATATTGTATACATATATTATATAAATTATCGCTAATCTCTGTTCTCAGTCTCTATTATTAGAAGCCGAGATGAATCCTTTTTATTCGTCTATATATCTGTATTACTACTTATTTATTTACGGGATAAGAAGAGGAGCGCACTGAATACCATTGCATTAGTGTCCCTCAAAGGTTCCTACACTATTTGGCTTAGTCGCTACAACAAGACCTGGATTGACAACTGGCAACAGGCCGAAAGACCAGTTTAATCCTGTTGAACAGCTGACCGTTGAGACTCTTCTCAACGAACTTGGCTACGATCTCACTTCTCTAGAGTGTCGTGGCAATTCTACTTATCATCCGGTTAACTCTGTAGAGGATGATATTATTCAGGAACATGTGAACTTCATTAAAGATAACTTTAATATTCGTGTTTCTGAGGACAACCTTTGTCTACCGAGAATCTTTTGGATTCCTAAACTTCACAAGAATCCTTATAAGTCTAGATTTATAGCTGGGGCCAGTAAATGTACCACTAAGCAGATATCAGTTGTAGTCAACAAAGCTTTAAAAGTTTTAAAAGAATACTTTTCCAAATACTGCAACTCTATCTACAACAATACTGGAATTAACTGCGACTGGAGCATTAACAGCTCTAAACAGTTCCTGGAAAGGCTGCCTAGACTAGAGATTTTTAATATGCAGGTATACGACTTTACCACTCTGTATACCAATCTAGACCTTCAGGTTGTACAGTCACTGCTTTTCGAGCTAATAGATCTCCTCTTTAGTAATACGAATAAATTTATTTGTGTTTCTCTGTATAAGAACAACAATTTTTTCTCTAAAAAGGAATATAACGGATACTTATGTTTTTCTGCTGATAAACTCAAAACAGCTATTACATTTATTCTGTTTAACACTTTTGTTTGTTTTGGGGATCAGATTTTAAGACAAACGAAAGGCATTCCCATGGGAGGGAATTCTAGTAGCCAGTTCGCTGATCTTTCGCTAGGGAAGTGTGAATTCAACTACATGACACGCCTAATCAAAGAAAAGAAGTTCGGTCTCGCTAAGCTCCTCTCAAGAAACTGCAGATATGTCGACGACCTCAACACCATGAACTATTTGCATTTCTCTAACCTAATCAGGTCCATTTATCCACCTGACCTGCTTATGGAGAGGAGTGGTGACGACAATAAGTCCGTAAACTATCTCGACATCAACATCTCGATGAATAACTCCGGACACGTCGCCACCAAGCTTTACAACAAACTTGATGACTTCAACTTTCCTGTGGTCATGTACACCTTTCCTAACAGTAATATTTCCTCTTCTGTTGGTTATAATGTTTTTTACGGTCAGGTCCTTCGTTACTCTTCCATTATCTCTGACCTTGATTCTTTTCTGTGTTCTACCAACACCCTTTATAGGACACTTCTTTCAAGATGTTATAATGACAGACTCCTGAAGAGTAAATTCAGAAAGCTTCTGAAAGACCGACCTAGTATTCTGTACAAATACAGTATACTTGATGTCAGCGACATCCTTGACATCACATTTAACGTGAACAGGTGATCACTGACGAGTGATTGCTAGGGGGTCTTGGCACATTAAACCGGTACAGGTATTAAACCCCCGAAACCGGTGTGCCAAGTCATCTGCTGATGATGTTCACATAACATTATTTCCTCTCTCCTTTATTCCTTCCGTCTTTTCTTAAACTTACAGTTCAGTTACTTTATTTCACCAGGTCTACCTAAGGATCAATTATTCTTTGGTGGGGTTTCACTTCTGGTATTGGCTTCATTCCCGTTCCTTTTCCTTATTCTTTATACTTATTTTTTATATAGTTTAATGAGATTGTAGTCCTCTTGGACACAGTCGAGCCAAGACTTTCGATGTCTACCTCTGGACCTTTTTCCATGTGCTGGTTTCCACTGCAGCAATTTATTGGGCAGCCGGTCTTGAGGCATTCTTGCCAGGTGTACAAACCACCGCAGTATCTTGCTTGAGATGAAGGTATTTGTAATACCAGCACGCTGTAGAACTTTTTCATTGCTTGTCTTCATGAACCACTTATTCCGTAGAATCCTCCTCGGACACCCCTGATGGAACACCTCTACTCAGGGGTTTAGATGGTCGGCCATGTCTCACTTCCTAATACTGTTAGCACAGCAGCTCTGTATCAGGACATTACGGTTGTACCAGACACGGGACAAGGTGTTTAAGGTGCCCGCTGCCTTGTCAATCATACTATCCAGGGTCCCATCAGCAGATATGATATCTCTATATCTGTATTACAGGTATCTCTATATCTGTATTACAGGTATCTCTATATCTGTATTACAGGTATCTCTATATCTGTATTATAGGTATCTCTATATCTGTATTATAGGTATCTCTATATCTGTATTATAGATATCTCTATATCTGTATTACAGGTATCTCTATATCTGTATTACAGGTATCTCTTTATCTGTATTACAGGTATCTATATATCTGTATTATAGGTATCTCTATATCTGTATTACAGGTATCTATATATCTGTATTACAGGTATCTCTATATCTGTATTACAGGTATCTCTATATCTGTATTACAGGTATCTCTATATCTGTATTATAGGTATCTCTATATTATCTGTATTACAGGTATCTATATATCTGTATTACAAGTATCTATATATCTGTATTACAGGTATCTATATATCTGTATTATAGGTATCTCTATATCTGTATTACAGGTATCTATATATCTGTATTACAGGTATCTCTATATTATCTGTATTACAGGTATCTATATATCTGTATTATAGGTATCTCTATATCTGTATTATAGGTATCTCTATATCTGTATTATAGGTATCTCTATATCTGTATTACAAGTATCTATATATCTGTATTATAGGTATCTATATATCTGTATTACAGGTATCTCTATATCTGTATTATAGGTATCTCTATATCTGTATTATAGGTATCTCTATATCTGTATTACAGGTATCTCTATATCTGTATTATAGGTATCTCTATATCTGTATTATAGGTATCTCTATATCTGTATTATAGATATCTCTATATCTGTATTACAGGTATCTCTATATCTGTATTACAGGTATCTATATATCTGTATTACAGGTATCTATATATCTGTATTATAGGTATCTCTATATCTGTATTACAGGTATCTATATATCTGTATTACAGGTATCTCTATATCTGTATTACAGGTATCTCTATATCTGTATTACAGGTATCTCTATATCTGTATTATAGGTATCTCTATATTATCTGTATTACAGGTATCTATATATCTGTATTATAGGTATCTCTATATCTGTATTATAGGTATCTCTATATCTGTATTATAGGTATCTCTATATTATCTGTATTACAGGTATCTATATATCTGTATTATAGGTATCTCTATATCTGTATTATAGGTATCTCTATATCTGTATTACAAGTATCTATATATCTGTATTATAGGTATCTATATATCTGTATTACAGGTATCTCTATATCTGTATTATAGGTATCTCTATATCTGTATTATAGGTATCTCTATATCTGTATTACAGGTATCTCTATATCTGTATTATAGGTGTCTCTATATCTGTATTATAGGTATCTCTATATCTGTATTACAGGTATCTATATATCTGTATTATAGGTATCTATATATCTGTATTACAGGTATCTCTATATCTGTATTATAGGTATCTATATATCTGTATTATAGGTATCTATATATCTGTATTACAGGTATCTCTATATCTGTATTATAGGTATCTCTATATCTGTATTACAGGTATCTCTATATCTGTATTACAGGTATCTCTATATCTGTATTATAGGTATCTCTATATCTGTATTATAGGTATCTCTATATCTGTATTATAGGTATCTCTATATCTGTATTACAGGTATCTCTATATCTGTATTATAGGTATCTCTATATCTGTATTATAGGTATCTCTATATCTGTATTACAGGTATCTCTATATCCGTATTATAGGTATCTCTATATCTGTATTATAGGTATCTATATATCTGTATTACAGGTATCTCTATATCTGTATTACAGGTATCTCTATATCTGTATTATAGGTATCTATATATCTGTATTATAGGTATCCATATATCTGTATTACAGGTATCTCTATATCCGTATTATAGGTATCTCTATATTATCTGTATTACAGGTATCTCTATATCTGTATTATAGGTATCTCTATATCTGTATTATAGGTATCTCTATATCTGTATTACAGGTATCTATATATCTGTATTATAGGTATCTCTATATTTGATTACAGGTATCTCTATATCTGTATTACAGGTATCTCTATATCTGTATTATAGGTATCTATATATCTGTATTATAGGTATCTATATATCTGTATTATAGGTATCTATATATCTGTATTATAGGTATCTCTATATCTGTATTATAGGTATCTCTATTATATCTGTATTACAGGTATCTCTATATCTGTATTACAGGTATGTCTATATCTGTATTATAGGTATCTCTATATCTGTATTATAGGTATCTCTATATCTGTATTATAGGTATCTCTATATCTGTATTACAGGTATCTATATATCTGTATTATAGGTATCTCTATATCTGTATTATAGGTATCTCTATATCTGTATTATAGGTATCTCTATATCTGTATTACAGGTATCTATATATCTGTATTACAGGTATCTCTATATCTGTATTACAGGTATCTCTATATCTGTATTACAGGTATCTCTATATCTGTATTATAGGTATCTCTATATTATCTGTATTACAGGTATCTATATATCTGTATTATAGGTATCTCTATATCTGTATTATAGGTATCTCTATATCTGTATTACAGGTATCTATATATCTGTATTATAGGTATCTATATATCTGTATTATAGGTATCTCTATTATATCTGTATTATAGGTATCTCTATATCTGTATTACAGGTATCTCTATATTATCTGTATTACAGGTATCTATATATCTGTATTATAGGTATCTCTATATCTGTATTATAGGTATCTCTATATCTGTATTACAAGTATCTATATATCTGTATTATAGGTATCTATATATCTGTATTACAGGTATCTCTATATCTGTATTATAGGTATCTCTATATCTGTATTATAGGTATCTCTATATCTGTATTATAGGTGTCTCTATATCTGTATTATAGGTATCTCTATATCTGTATTACAGGTATCTATATATCTGTATTATAGGTATCTATATATCTGTATTACAGGTATCTCTATATCTGTATTATAGGTATCTATATATCTGTATTATAGGTATCTATATATCTGTATTATAGGTATCTCTATATCTGTATTATAGGTATCTCTATTATATCTGTATTACAGGTATCTCTATATTATCTGTATTACAGGTATCTCTATATCTGTATTATAGGTATCTCTATATATCTGTATTATAGGTATCTCTATATCTGTATTATAGGTATCTCTATATCTGTATTACAGGTATCTCTATATCTGTATTATAGGTATCTCTATATCTGTATTACAGGTATCTCTATATCTGTATTATAGGTATCTCTATATCTGTATTATAGGTATCTCTATATCTGTATTACAGGTATCTCTATATCTGTATTATAGGTATCTCTATATCTGTATTACAGGTATCTCTATATCTGTATTACAGGTATCTCTATATCTGTATTATAGGTATCTCTATATCTGTATTATAGGTATCTCTATATCTGTATTATAGGTATCTCTATATCTGTATTACAGGTATCTATATATCTGTATTATAGGTATCTCTATATCTGTATTATAGGTATCTCTATATCTGTATTACAGGTATCTCTATATCCGTATTATAGGTATCTCTATATCTGTATTATAGGTATCTATATATCTGTATTACAGGTATCTCTATATCTGTATTACAGGTATCTCTATATCTGTATTATAGGTATCTATATATCTGTATTATAGGTATCTATATATCTGTATTACAGGTATCTCTATATCCGTATTATAGGTATCTCTATATCTGTATTATAGGTATCTCTATATCTGTATTACAGGTATCTATATATCTGTATTATAGGTATCTCTATATTTGTATTACAGGTATCTCTATATCTGTATTACAGGTATCTCTATATCTGTATTATAGGTATCTATATATCTGTATTATAGGTATCTATATATCTGTATTATAGGTATCTATATATCTGTATTATAGGTATCTCTATATCTGTATTATAGGTATCTCTATTATATCTGTATTACAGGTATCTCTATATCTGTATTACAGGTATGTCTATATCTGTATTATAGGTATCTCTATATCTGTATTATAGGTATCTCTATATCTGTATTATAGGTATCTCTATATCTGTATTACAGGTATCTATATATCTGTATTATAGGTATCTCTATATCTGTATTATAGGTATCTCTATATCTGTATTATAGGTATCTCTATATCTGTATTACAGGTATCTATATATCTGTATTACAGGTATCTATATATCTGTATTACAGGTATCTCTATATCTGTATTATAGGTATCTTTATATCTGTATTATAGGTATCTATATATCTGTATTACAGGTATCTCTATATCCGTATTATAGGTATCTCTATATCTGTATTATAGGTATCTCTATATCTGTATTACAGGTATCTATATATCTGTATTATAGGTATCTCTATATTTGTATTACAGGTATCTCTATATCTGTATTATAGGTATCTCTATATCTGTATTATAGGTATCTCTATATCTGTATTACAGGTATCTCTATATTATCTGTATTACAGGTATCTCTATATCTGTATTATAGGTATCTCTATATCTGTATTATAGGTATCTCTATATCTGTATTACAGGTATCTCTATATTATCTGTATTACAGGTATCTATATATATATAATATATATCTGTATTACAAGTATCTATATATCTGTATAATATGTTATTAGTTGATAGTTAATAATAGTTAATTATATCTATCTTTATATCTGTATTACCTAAAGTAAGCAACTTCTTCCTTCTACCAATAACCCCAACTTATTGATAATCTTATCTTCAAATGTCATCTAAACCTGTTTGGAATACAAAGCATGGAATTGATTGAGATTTTTGTCTCATCTAGCAACTAGTTTAGATTACCATGTTTGTAAAGAAAATAACACTATTGTAACCTTATAACTTATAACTAGTTACTAGTTATAATAATGATGTAACTTTTTGCAGCAGGTGAAATTACCGTCATTGCAATGGATAGATGACTACAAGGAGCTGTTCCACTTCAAGATATCAACTGTCTCCTCTATTCACTTACAGGTAAAAATACATACAGACCCTGTTAATACAGTGTCGGAGGGGGAGGGGGGGGGGGTTAACAATGTGTTTCAAAGGGGGGGGGGGGGTAACAATGTGTTTCAAAGGGGAGGGGGTTAACAATGTGTTTCAAACTGGGGGGGGGGGGTTAACAATGTGTTTCAAAGGGGGGGGGGTTAACAATGTGTTTCAAACTGGGGGGGGGGGGGGGTTAACAATGTGTTTCAAAGGGGGGGGGGGTTAACAATGTGTTTCAAAGGGGGGGGGGGGGTAACATTGTGTTTCAAAGGGGGGGGTTAACAATGTGTTTCAAAGGGGGGGGGGGTTAACAATGTGTTTCAAAGGGGGGGGGGTTAACAATGTGTTTCAAACTGGTGTAAATAATACAAAATATTATTTATATTTAGCATTATTTATATTTAGCATTATTTGTATTTAGTGTTATAAATTATATTTAGTATTATTTGTATTTAGTATTATTTGTATTTAGTATAATTCATATTTAGTACTATTTATATTTTGTATTTTTTATATATTATAGTATTATTCTTTATTTTAATAACTGACATTTTGTCCTTTGGTCCTTGATCTTTTTAGCAGGGTTTCTAACACGGAGTTGAACTTGAAAAAGATGGAGGAATAACTGAAAAAGATAAACTGCAATGCACTGAAGTTTAAAGGTAAAAGAGATGATAATGGTAATAAGATTAAGATAACTATTGACTCAGCGGAATTTGCGGACCTGGAAACTACAGCCAATAGACCAGATTTGTTTCAGACTGCCCAGGATCTATACACTTTCTACAAAAATGCTCTTCAACTAATCAAGACTGTTTCAGAAACAAGTCACAACTTCTACCGAGCAGAAGACACCAGATTTCAAAGAAATTGTAAAGACACAGCTCAGAGAGGTACAAGCAAAAGTACTTCCAACAATACTACCTGAATTATTGAGTACACTGGACACTACCCAAAGAAAAAACAACAAAGACCCAAGAAGAAACCAAGCTCGCAGAAAAACACACCCTCACAGTTGAGAAAAATACTGACACTGAAGAAGCAAAACCCATTACAAAGGATGATGAAAAAGAAATGAAAGGTTGCCCAGTGAAAAACTTTTAAAGAGTGTCTGGAAGTACTGCGACTTTCAAGTTCGCTACCAGAGATCAACTTAACAAGGCTGAAACAGTATTTAAAAGTCAGGATGCATACAAGATATCCTCAAAGTCCGGAAAGAAATTGGACCCCAAACTGTCTATTCGAAATAATATTCCCTATGACATCACAAACAATAGTTAGGGCAAGAATTGCTGTTTATGGGTCAATCTGTGAACAAATTCGTAACAAAGGTTTGTCTACAGGAATGTGTTGTCCATAGTCCCAAGAACCACCAAAAAAAACCGTCCAGCTGAAACTTTTGGGCAAAAATGTTTATAGTCATTTTTCTCCAGGAACCCATACGCCCCACCCCTAATATTGGTTATTCGACTCCCGAAGGTCTTGAATTCTCCATAGGGGGTGCAAAATGACCGCAATGGCCACATTATGGCAGGCGAATGATAGTTTCAGAACGATTGGGGCTTTAATTTTCGAAATAAATGGAATTTTTCGAAATTTTTCTAAATTTTATTGAAATTTCGAAAAAAAATACACCAAATTATTTTTAACGCTTATTTCAAATCTATTTAAAAACTCATCTACAAATAACAAATACAGTTAATCTAAAATGTGTATTCTCAGTAAATACCATGAAAATTATTAATACACAGTTAATATTAATCAAAATTCGCTTGTTCTTCAGGTTCATCATGTCTAATGTTTGTGCAGTTCATACCATGGCATCGTCCACAAGCTGGCAAACAATTGAAGCCATATTTCCTACATGAACATCTGAAAGTCAAACAGGCCTGTTCCACATCGACAGAACAGTTACAACATGTAAGGTTCAAAATAGACTCTGGAGCAATTATAGCTTTTGTTGCAACTGGTTCGTAAGTGCCACCAGGAGCCAATTTCCAGCCGTAGTCAAGGGGATTCAGACTGTCAGCGTTAAGCATGACCCAGTTATGGTACTGTAAGTAAGCTCTAAGGATGTGCTCCGTTGCTGAAGCTCTCTCTCTCTGTTTTGGTCAACGGTTTCTGGCCTCCTAGTGAAGAGGGAGGCCTTCTCGCCGTGCCCACAGAGTGTGACTCCTGCTAGCCACACTCCAGGACTCCCTAAGTATATACAAAAACATAGAATAATAGATATCAACGCAACAGACCTCTGGAGTCTCGAAGCTGTTACTACCTTGCTCAGAGCAAACCCACTTCAGATGTTCTTCTTTGGCGGGCAGGCGAGGGACTTCCGAGCATGGTCCACACCTGAATATGTGTCACTATCTGAGATAGTCCTGTGTGGGTCTAGTGTGTGATTGTTTATGAACCTTGGTGTATGTCCTAGATGCTTATCCAAATAGATCGTCTCTGTCAAACCTTGTTGACTGTTCCACGAATTTGATAATGTGGTCGAGTTTACTATTGATGAGTTCCTCAATTGTTAGGATGGGTTTACCAAATATCCTCATTCTAGTTGTCATCAGCTGGATGCATTCACATAGGAAGTGTTGTGATGTTTCTGCTTCCCCTGGGCAGTGTTCACAGTCTTGTGTTTCGAAATTGGAGTTGTTTGCTACCGTCTGGAAGTATGCTAGTGGGCTGTGTCCTGATAGTAGCCATGTTAGCCATTTGATGTGAGTACCTGTGATGTTAATTTTCTTGTACCTGTTTTTGTTGAGGAAAAATGTTAGTGGGGTTTTTCCTTTATCACTGAGTGCCACCTGTTTATACTTCTTGATATGGAGATTGAAGAGGTAATCTTTTATTTGGGTGTTGATTATAGTTCTTTACCGTATACTCCTTCATGTCCTGGAACAAAGTTCTACTCGATGAGAAAACCTAGCGAGTTGAGTTGGTCTGAGATGTTCAGAACGAACCTGGAGTTAAAATTGGTGCTGTTAAGGGCTTTAAATGCAGCCTGGGAATCTGAGAGGAATTTATGATTGATTGAGATCCTAAGTTATCATTAGTCCAGATACTTGCCATGTATAACGCAAATAGCGGGTACGCTTTCCTCAATGAACCTGAAGAAGGAATATCTGTCCTGAATTGATACCATGTAACGTCGAGCTTAAAAATGAATCAAAAGTTCGAGTAAATCGTTAAACGTTGTATGTCCTATTTGCATCCCCTAAGCATTGCATTGATGTTTAATGTTTATTCCTGGTCCGGTTAGCTTTGCGTCTCAGAACTAAAGAGGTCCACTATGCTTTAATGAGCTAAGCTGTCCACCAGGGTACTGTAGATCTAAGGGTTCCCCGTGTAATGGGGCTGGCTGTGATAAAGCATCTCTGCAGGATGTCCGAGATGAACTGATTCGAGTGTTGAGAACTTCCGCTGTAGAAACTGAATAGAATCAGTAAGGATGTCAGTCAAACTCTGCTGCTACTAGATGATTGTAGAGCGTCCAGTCACACTTCAATAAAGAGTGTGGCAAAGCTAACCCGGTCCCCTGAAAAGTGGTTACTGGAGGAAGAAGTGCCAGGAATTCTCGTTATCAGTGTGTCCTCGTAGTCAGAGTTGAAATCCCTAATTCTGTCTTATCACGAGCCTGTGTCTAGCGGGTGTCAGCCCTTACGCATTAGCTGTCTTAACTGAAAAGACCTGAAAAGTGGTTACTGGAGGGAGAAGTGCCAAGACTACTCATTATCAGTGTGTCCTTGTAGTCAGGATGAGCGAATTGGAATCCCTAGCTCTGTGGTGAGTGACTTCGATGGGACCTGAAAGCTGAAAGAGAATTTTCTGGTGATTTAATAGCTCTTAGAGCTAGGTATCTGTGTCTAACGTATCTTCATTTGTGTGTGTACTATCTTGTAACCTGATATCTGAAAGAGAAATTTCCTGGTGCTTGGTAGCTGTTATTGTTGACTTCCTGGTTCCCAAGGGAACTTTGAGTTGGCAAGTCCCAACCTTAGTACTCAACAAGAGAGCACACCACCCGTTAGTGCCAACCAGGCCACACCACGTGGAGGTTCGGAGAGGATTTCGTGACCCCGTTGCTGAAGCTATTGTTGGAGGTAGCCTATTCCGATTCTTTTTCGCTACCATCCTATTGTACGCTAGGAATCTCAAAGCAGAAAGAGTCTTTTTCTTGTCACCATAAATGTACTGCAAGAAACAGAGGCCTGCCTCAATAATCTTTTCTTTTGATTCTCTCACCGAAAGTAATGTTGCCAACTGACCTTGCTCATCAAAGGTGAGAGCTTTCTTTAGCACTTTAACCTTGCTAAAACCAAACAGTCCACTGACGCTATCACAACCTGAAATACTATGAATTAGAAGAAGTATCTCCTTTTCTTTATGATCTAGATGACTTGATATTTCTTTGATTGAATATGTACCCTTCTTCGTTGTTAGATAAATATCATTGTGATGGTCACTGTTGAAATGATGTACTAATAGACTTGAACTATATCGGTATCCTCTGCCTTCAATTCAACATCGCCAAGGAATGACATTTCCAATGTTTTCTTTGCAATTAAAGTATCAGCATCGTTACAAGCTCTGATCACTTCAATACCATTTACAGTAAAAATGCTTGAGATAAGGTCGATCAGTTCTTTTTTGTTATTGTTGTTGCTCAGAAATGTTGTTTTGGTGACAGTACAAAAGGTGGATTTCTTTACAGCAATATTAGCACAGAACGCTTTTACTCTCCTCTTGTGCTCGTGATCTTTAGTAGAAGGCTCATATCCATCAAAAATCACAGTAACTTCCTGATTTTTAGGGATAAGCTTCAAGTACTCCATTGCTACCTCACCATAATTGTCACACCCTTTAAATGAGCTTAGTTGGTGAATTAGCCAACCTCCATCAATGACTAGTGGGATCGTGAAGCTGCAAGATTTAAGTGTAGATTGGTTTATACCAAGAGCAGCCTTATTAGATTTCCTCATCATCTGATA